TACATATACCAGTTTTATTACACAAGTTTTACCACACATATACCAGTTTTATTACACAAGTTTTACCACACATATACCAGTTTTATTACACAAGTATTACCACACATATACCAGTTTTATTACACAAGTTTTACCACACATATACCAGTTTGTTTACACAAGTTTTACCACAAATATACCAGTTTTATTAAACAAGATTTACCACACACATACCAGTTTTATTACACAAGTTTTACCACACATATACCAGTTTTATTACACAAGTTTTACCACACATATACCAGTTTTATTAAACAAGTTTTACCACACATATACCAGTTTGTTTACACATCAGTTTTACTAAACATATACCAGTTTTATTACACAAGTTTTACTTCACATATACCAGTTTGTTTATGTATCAGTTTTACTACACATATACCAGTTTGCCTGTGTAGTAAAACTGATGTGTAATGTGTAGTAAAAATGAAGTGTAATATAACAGGTATAGTCTCAAAGTGGGTTCCTCGTCATCGAACATATACCAGTTTGTTTACACAGGTTTTACTGTACAATTATCAGTTTAAGTACACACTACTCATATGGTACACAACTACCAGTTTTATTACACATTTATCAGTATGACTACACAGTTACCAATTTAAGTACACACTTACCAGTTTTACTACACATTTACCAATTTAAATACACACCAGTTTTGTTCAACCATCTGTAGCAAACTGATTTTAACGAAATGTAGTAACAAGGGGAGTGGGTTCTTCACTCTGCCTGTCTCATAACTTAAAGAAAGTACTTATTACTTTAAGTATGAAAAAGGTTTACGTACAGTTTGATTCTGATATTTCTTGTTTTAGTAATGGTTTTTAGTTATTATTTAGTAAAGAGGTTTAAACCCGTTTGTTAATCGTTTCTAGTTGAATGTAGTACTGTGGAAGATTTCAGTTCCTTGGTGACGTCACAAGAGCTCACGGACTTGCACCGATTGGAAGTGACCATCCCTGACCTGATCCAAAATACAACATATTTTGTCCAGGTTGCAGCTGGAAACAGCAAAGGGTTTAGCAGTTTTCAGACGACGTGTCCCAGTTCTGCTGTTCCCTCCAGTAAGTTTGTTAAATGACGTGATAACCCGCCTCCTGGCGACAAGTTTATAAAACGTTATAATCTGAATGATTTCTTTTAGTAAAATTTCTAGAACACGAATCAGAAGCTTGACATTCATACCGTTATGTGTCTCAGATATTCAAAATAATAATAAATCATATCAGTACTCGTTCGGATTACACAGAGCTAAGATGTGTTTTCTCGCCTGTCTGCATTTTTCAGTTTTTTTCTTCATTGTGTTGAAACAGTCCTTATCAGGGCTTAGTGTAGAAGTGTAAAGTGTTACTATAGTGTTTGCATCCATCAAAATCTATAGCACACTTAAACAGTGCAAAGGCCTCCAACCAGAATTCATCATGAGCATCAGCCGCTCCAGTAAGCAAAGGAAGAAAAATCGTCCATTGACCCGGTCTCAGAACCAGCCACTGACTGAGGCAGACCAGTACAAGATGCTATCAGCTGCCCAGGCAGCCATGAGCTCCGACGATGATTCGGTTTCTTCCTCATCTTCATTATCCACTGTCACTGCTGCCTCACAAGCCTCACCTGAACCCGTTCGATCTCGCCGCTCCTCAACTAACCCAACCCAGCAGATCAACCCATTACCAGTAGCAAAAAAGCCCCCTCCAGCCATTATCGTCGAGGGAATTCCTGCCTTGTACAGACAACCTCAAGTTGCCGCCGAACTTCGTCGCCTATTTCCTGGCATTACATTCAGTAATGTCCGTCGACTCCCCCGAGGAGGCATAGTCATCAAATGTGACTACCCAAGGGACTATTCCACGCTCCTTAAAACATGGCCCTCAGACGCCTTCAATGGATGCTCAATCAACACCCACGTCCCAACGGACAACGAACCAAGGAAGACCCTAATCATACGAGGCATTCCACTGGACACAACCAACAAGGAGATTGAAGACGAACTCCACTTTAGACAAGTTAAATTCTCAAACTTTATCCGCATCAAGTCAACCAAAACTCAAAACCTCACGCCACTCATCAGAATCACTATTACAGAAGGAAATGTTTCACGAGTTATTCTACATCACACGGACGTACTAGAAAACCACTACAGAGAGAGTAGCGAATCAGAGGGTAAATTGTGCATCACGTCATTCACAGAATAGCGAATCAGGGAATAGATTGGGCTTCTACGTCATTCACAGATTCTTTCTACGTTTCACTGAAATTACACGTCTTGCTGAAGACAAAATAAATTTTCACAAATGTATTAACAGTTAGTCCCTTATAACCAAAAGTTATTTAAACACCTAGGGATTTTTTTGTTTCTTAGTGATGAGTAGAAACTATACATGAAACTTACAAAAAATGGCGTTTCCTTGTCATTTATTTTTTGAGAATTTAGGTCTTTGATCGACTCGGTACAAACATGTTACATAGCAGCAACACAAGATGTCAAGAAATATTGTTTAACTTGTAGCATTTAGATGTTACGTGTAGATGTTACATAGCAGCAACACAAAATGTCAGGAAATATTGTTTAACTTGTAGCATCTAGATGTTACATAGCAGAAATACAAAATGTCAGGATATATTGTTTAACTTGTAGCATCTAGCTGTTACATAGTAGAAATACAAAATGTCAGGATATATTGTTTAACTTGTAGCATCTAG